CGCTCCGGGCTCCGGCTGCTGCGTCAGCCACTGCAGGGCCGCCTGCAGCAGGTCGTGCTCGCACTCGCGCTGCACCTGGCTGCTGCTCAGGTACAGGCACAGCTTCTGCAGGGACACGCTCTGCAGGAAGGCGGGCGTGAAGGACAGGGTGCCAAAGCGGCTCAGCACGAAGCTGTCGATGAAGGCATCCAGCCGCTTGAGGCTGTAGGCTCCGGCTGCTGCGTCAGCCACTGCAGGGCCGCCTGCAGCAGGTCGTGCTCGCACTCGCGCTGCACCTGGCTGCTGCTCAGGTACAGGCACAGCTTCTGCAGGGACACGCTCTGCAGGAAGGCGGGCGTGAAGGACAGGGTGCCAAAGCGGCTCAGCACGAAGCTGTCGATGAAGGCATCCAGCCGCTTGAGGCTGTAGATGGAGGCCAGCTCCTGCAGGTACAGGTAGTTGTCCTCGCTCACCTCCTGCTCCAGGTACTCGCAGCAGAAGTCCACCGCCGTCCAGATCTGCAGCAGGTGCGCCGTCTCCAGTACATGGTCGATGTTGCCTCCGTCCAGCACCAGCTCACCGCCGTACAAGAAGTCCACCACAGCCTTCAGCCCGACGGGTGAGGCGCCCACCAGCGCCACCTCCTTCTCGAAGGCCTCGCGCATGCCCAGAGTGAACATGGAGTTGAAGTAGTCGCTGCACACGGCCAGCAGGTTGCGGTGCGCGGGCACGCGCTGCTCCTCGGCCACCAGCACCACGTCACAGAAGAGGCCCCGGAGCCGCTGCTCGTTCAGCCGCTGCAGCACCGTGGTGGGGTGGTCGGCCCACTGGTACACCTGCCGGGTTGGGTGTGCTTAGGGATGGCGACAGGAGGCCCCTAGGGCCACTGCTGTCCCCCATGACTTTCCAGTACAGGGACTGAACCCAAGACCTTCCCACTGAGCTCCATCCCCAGCCTTTCTTAATTTTTATTTTGAGACAGGGTCTCACTAAATCCCTCAGTTACTCAGGCTGGGCTTGAACTTGCAATCTTTCTGCCAGAGTGCTGGGATTTCAGGGGTGTACTACCACGCCCAGTTTATTTCTTCCCATCTAAATTAAGTGCTGGCCGGCTACAAGGTGTGCTGTGTCTAGAAATGCAAGGGCACACTTTTCCAGAAAATGTAAGAACAGAAACATAGTCAACCAAGGGCTAGAGATCCCTCTTCCTCAGAGCTCTGTTCAGAGAGGAACCAGCACAGAACCTGGCTGTGAAGGACAAAGGTTTCCAGCACTATCAAACTTAGAAAGCGACACTGTCCGAGGCGATGCCAGAAACAAAGCCCCTTTGAGAGAGCAGCCAGAGCTTCTGGGTTTTCACACAAGATAAAGCAGGGCTTGGCAACAGAGACCCTTCTCAGGGAACCAGCCCCCTTTACAAGCGAAGCCCCATTTTTCTCCTCTGCACCCGCAAAGCCTCATCTCCTCTGAACCTCTGATTGCTCACAGCCCTTTTCTCTAGCACAGTCTCTCTCTCTTATTTTCCACTAAGAAGCCTTTTAAGATATTTTGTCCAAAGAGCCACCGTTCCCAACACCCCAAATTTAGCCACGGCCAACACAGTGCTGTCTGCCTAGGGGATATCTGTGTATCTCTCCTTTATGCAGAAAGGGTAAAATTCCTTCTGGACCCCAACAACCAATCTTCACCGCCTTGGGAACAGGGTATTGCCCTCACTGAGAACGTGTGATCTAAAGGAATCAGAACATTTAATCTCTAGTGCACCTGTCATCCCAGTACTCTGGGAGGCTGAGGCAGGAGAAGCCCATGTCTGAACCCAGCCTGGGCAAATGAATAACTTAGCAAGACCCTGTCTCAAACTAAAAAATAAAGTAAAAAGGGCTGGAGATGGAGCTCAGTGCAGAGGCCCTGGGTTCAATTCTGAGTACTGAAAAAAGATCTTCCAGGAGGACTTTTACTGAAATCAGGGCACCAAGAGTGTTTGTAACTAGGAGACATGAGAAAAGGGGGACTGTTGCCCCAGTGACAACCCCAGTCTCTCCCTGAAGCAGCTGTAGACACCACAGCAGCCCTGAATCCTCCTGAGAATCTTCTGAAGTCGGGTAACCTAGACCTGGGCTCAGACTCCAGCCGAGCGGGTCTTCAGCCAGCTGCCCACGCCTAGTTCTTTCGCTGTGAGTCTCAGTGTGACTGTGTGAGGTCTCACTATGTAATTCAGGCTGGCCTTGACCTCACTATGTAGCCCAGGCTGGCCTTGACCTTCTGGTGATCCTCCTGCCTCAGCCTCAAGTGCTAGGATGATAGGTGTGTGCTAGCACACCTAGCCAATCAAGGCTTCTTACCCTGTCCCACTGACCTGCCATGATATAGAGAATAAGCGAGCCAAGCTATTACACAGAGGATGCTCTTAAATACCAGAATGGAAAATGAAAACACCTAGCCACAGGGTCACGAATACCCTGTGCCCTGAGCTGTCTGTTCCTTGCCTGTTTCTACCTCTGCTAGTCGTCATGGAGATGAGCAACACCAGCACCCGGAGTCAGCCTGTGCACAAGTTAACCAGAAACAGGCGGGGAGCACTGTCCACAGACCTTTGACGACTCGCTGATCTTGTACGGCCGAGACACCCGGGTCTGCCTGCTTCCCTCCATCACAGAAAGACTGCAGCCCTGGAACAGAAAGGGTTCCTGAGTGTGCAGCACGAATGCCAGGTCATTCACTCCCTGCAGGCCTCGCTGGCTGACAGGGCAGGGCAAGCTCGGAAACAAGTCACTTGGAGAAAAGCGGGAGAGAACAGACTACTACAACGGACCCCTTTCATGACAGTGTGAGTTGAGAAAATCAGGTTGTCAGCATCACTGCCAACGCTTAACTGGAATTCTTTTTTGTTTTGTTTTGTTCGGTACCGGGGATTGAACTCGTGGAATTCTTTTACCATCAAAAAATCTGGTGACAGCGCTCCGTAGCCACCTTGGGGGATTCATCTGCAGTGGGCCTCTGGGCTAGGCGCTAAGTGATCATTTTGGAGCCCAAACTGCGGCCCTGGAACCAAGCTAAAGGACTTCCACATGCAGCCTCCTTTAATTCCACAACTACTGGGGCACTTAGCCCGCTTCACAGACGAGGACACCAAAACTGTGGTCTCTAAGCTTGCAGATGGCTGACAGTCAAACTTGGGTCTCTGCATCTTCAAAACTCAGGCCCTTGGCCTGAGGACACTAAGCGAGGGCCCAGCTTCGTGAGGACCACGCAGGAGGCTAAGGACACGATGCAGCAGTGAGGAACACCTACACTGGCCCCATCCTAGGGATTGTTCCCATCTTACCTCATTCACCCCCCACTGCCCCCCCCAGACCAGCACATTATTCCCCCGGGGTCACAGAGAAGGGGACAGCAGGGGCTGAACTAACCCATTCAGCTTCACATAGCCAGCAAGTGGCAGAGCTGGGGCTCCAACCTAGGAGGCTTCCAGGTCCTCTTCACCCCTCCAGTGATGCCAAACCTTTTCGAGCTTTCGATGATACAGCTTGTTGCCCACCCATAGGATACCTCTGTGGCCCTGTGCTGTCTTGAACACAGGCTTGGGCCAGGGTATTAACCCCTCTGACTTCACCGTCACGCTACGGAACAGGATGGTGGGCTGGGGTGGTTTCCACCAGTGCTGCAATGCCAAGCAGCTCATCCACAGCCCAGAGCCAGGCAGTGGGGGCCTGGGAGGGCAGTGGGGGCACAAGTCACACACCGGGTTGAGGAATTCCTGGAGAAATAATGTTTTCCTGCTGAGTCTCTAAGAACTAATTGGTTGGTTACCCATGAAGTCTTTGCTAATAAAGAACAAAGTGGTAAGAAGTTGGCAGTGTTCTGAGATAAACAGGGATATGCAGGGGCTCCAGTGTTCCCTTGGGAGGAACGAATACAGGCACATTTCATCCTGTCCCACTCTCTTTGGGAAAGGGACAAAAAGATCTCCCTGGACAAACTGACCACTCTGTGATCATGACAAGCTGTACGGACCCGGGGTCTTCCACTCTGACCCTAGGCAGCTGGGACACCCAGGAAGCCAGCCTTCATTCAGTGCCTACAGCACACTTGACCTTCACCTTTCACCCTGGCTTCGGAGACAGCGGAGCCAGCATTCCCCAGGGAGACACCCGGGCGCTTGCCCGCGGTCTCACGGAAGAAAACACAGGGTCCCGCCCCTCAGGTTTGCCCTCCCACGGTACGAGCGATCTTTTCTAGGCCGAGATATCCAGAGTTCGCCAGCGGTGGAGGCCCCTTTCGCCCGGGCCAGTGGTCTGGGGCTGTCTTCCCGGGGTGCCGGGCGCCAGCTGCCTAACTTGAGCAGGTGACGGGTGGGGACCCCCGCCCACTGGCCCCGTGTAAAAGGTCCTTCCTCGAGCAACTGGCAGAGCCCGAGTCCGGGACAGTGCGGGGGTGGGGGGCACCAGTCCTCGGCGCCG